GTTCGCTGATGAGAGAAGCCAGGGAGCCACTGTCAACAGCACTGGCGCCATCACTGTGGTCTTTCTGGAGAGATGAACATGACAGTCTATGTAGACAAGAGTGAATTATTGGTTTGGGAAGACAGAGCCGAACGTAATAAATGGATGACGCAGGATGTCCAGCAAGATTAGCATTACAAGTTACATAAAAATGGGACAAAATCATGTAAGGTTTCAAATGATAACCTTTTACTTGTGTGCTTTAATATTACGGATTGATATTCAGTTCAGAAGATTAAAAAACTGTCACATAATGTAAACCAATTCTTAATGTGGTAAAGTTCTTTAAAAAGGTTCTTCACATTAACACATCTCATCTCCCTAAAGACCCATCCATTGAAAGCGTTTGTAAGGCAGTGGTTCTCAAACCGGTCCTCAAGGACCACCCAGACGGTGTGTGTTTTTGCTGTATCCCATATGTGTTGTGAGTTGGGTTCAAAGTGGACCTTGTGGGGGTCCCTGAGGACTGGTTTGAGAACCACGGTTGAAGTACAAGTAGTGGTTCCTGTATGTGCAAAGAACCTTTTTAAGAGTGTAGGCCTTCACAGTACTGTTGCCACCAACGTTTTTCAGTAATTAAGACTCATTCAGTTGTAATCAGCTTTCCAGGAGATCATATAAGGTAGAGCATAAGACAGCCTGGAAAGGAACCACGGTTTCCTGTGGTGCAACTCCATGACCATCACCATTTATCTCTGGTCAACTGACCTGCACTGCTGGCCAACTGACCAGGGATAAATGGTAACAGTTGAGGAGTAATAATATTAATAATAGTCAACAAAACAAGAACAGTAGCACAACAGAAGCAATATGAAAGTTATGTAGTAAGGAAAGTAAGAAGATATCAAATATCTATTTATCTATGTATCTGTCTGTCTGACTGTCTGTCTATCTATCTATCTATGATGATGGAATGAGATGATGAAACACAGTGGCAAACATGTCCCAACTTTTTTGGAACACACACACACACACACACACACATATATATATATATATATATATATATATAATATCTAACTGGCATAAGGAAGAGGAACATCAAAGGAAAATAAGTAAAAACAGGAGTTTCTGAAACTAAAGCGCTACTATGCCTTATACAGTTATACAGTACAATGCAAACGTCAGAGATCACCCTTGTTTATTTGATTTGCAGTCAAAACATCCATTAAGTACAATTCATTTTTCAGGAGATATTTCTGATGAGATTAGATATGATAATCCACTTGCTTAACCTCTTATGCTCCAGGGCATATTTTGGTGTGTCCATCTGAATTTACATGACCAAATCATAAGGCAAATTATTCAGTAACTGCATAAAATAAATGTGAAATTTTTATTTTATTTATTCATTTATTTATTGTAAAAGTTCCCCTCAGATTAACAGAACGTGTGTTTTATGATCACACATATTGCTATATGCTTACAATTTACAGCTGAAAGGCAAAAATCTCAGTCGCTCTTTGTATTATTTTATAAAAATGATTTTTACAGAGCAGATCACTGAAGAGACGCCATCTGTTTATAGTTTATAGCCCAGATTTGTGGAAAAATGGGTCGACTTTCAGTAGACAAAAGAAACTGAGTTCAGCGTCTTTTATTATAAGGGTTTAAAACTACATTACCCATCTATTTGACTGGAAAGAAGACAGTTACAGCTCTCATACGACCCCCACCTTTTGAACGTAGCTTATGAAATATGAAAGTTATGAAGAATATGACGAAGTGCGTTTTGGAACCACTGGTGGTCTCAAGTGGTTGAAGAGGTTAAGGAAGGAAAAATTTCCAGTAAAATAAGTGAGTTTCCAAAACTGGAGTTCAAAAACTGATTTTTAAAGTTTCTACAGAGAAAATGAGACTCCTAACAACCACCTGGAAGACCTGGTCGACACCCAAAACTGCCCCCATCACATAAACAGCACTTAAAGCTTTCATCTTTGAGAGAGAGGAGAAAATCAAGCTGCTTCAGATCTGAAAACATCCACAGGTGTTTCTGTCCATCCTTCCACTGTGAGAAGACGACTCAGCGCTGTGGGTCTGAAAGGATGTGTAGCTGATCAAGAAGAACCTCACTGAGAAAAAGAGACGGACACATCAAACAAAGAAGCTGAACAATGGACTGACCACCCCAGAGTCCAGACCTCAACACCACTGAATGCGTTTGGGACGACTTGGATCGTGAGAAGGAGAAAACAACTTGTAAGACTGAACTCTGTAGGTGTGGCACAATGTCCCTGTAGAAGTTTCCTGAAAAGTTTCTTACACTTATTTTCATTTTCTTATGTTCTCCCTTCTTATGCAGTGAATTATCTTGTATCTAATCTCCTCAGTAAAATGAAATTAATAACTCATGCTTTTTTTTTGTATTCTTTGCTGTTTTGACTGGAGATGAAATAAATGAATTATGGCCTCTGATTTCTGTACAGTACGGTATGTTTTGTGTGGAAATACTGCATCCGCTGTTGCTTATAAATGCACTGCAGAAGCAAAAATGCTATCACGTTTCACAGCTAACAAAGGGCTTAACACAGTATAGAAAGAAGAGACGTAATTCTTTTAAAAAAATGGAAAAAGAAATTTCCTTTTACATAACTAAGGTCATTCAGCTTCTATGTCAATCTTCCATCATCGCAGAACGGCTGAAATTAACAGAGCTGGTCATTCTGACCCTCTGAAAACAGCCGAGAGGAACTCAGCGCAGATGTCTTGATGTATCTGAAGTGTATTGGAAAGGTCTCAGCAGCTATTACCAGATTTCACATTTGCACTTGACTTCTAAACGTCTAATAATCTCCGCTGATGTCCATATTTGTGCGTCTGTTTTACCGGTGAGTCATGAGTTCAGCAGGGTGGTTGTAAAAGGGGAAAAAGCTGGCGCAGGGGTGGGTGGGGTGTTGACTTCTCTCCCTCATCGTTTCTGTCCCTCCCCGGGGTCGCAGCGGTATAAAAGCCGGAGGGCGGAGGGTGAGGACCTGAGACCGACTGCCAGCAGCAACATCTTCACCATCCTCCACGCCTGCAAGCCAATTACACAGTAAGTGACCATCTTCCCTTTCTGCTGTGGTTGATGAAGGTTCTCAAGTAATTGAATTTGGAGGTCTAACTGATACTGTCTCAGGGGAAATTTGCACAAGATCCCATTGGTAGTCTGCAAATCTACATGATAAAGTGTAGATCTGGAAAAGATCAGCTAAGTGGAGAAGGTTTTCAGGACCACGGACAGCGCTGTGTGAATCTTTTCAGGACCGTGATCAGCTCAGTTAACACCACCAGTATTTCAGTTTTACCTGTTTTCCTAACCTGAATTGCGTGAGCATTTACAGAAGTACTCAAATCTGGAACCTCCTAGAACCTTTCTGGCTCTGTAGACGCTTGGTAGTTATCAGGACTGTTGGTCTAACTGATGGCACACCTACACATTTAAAAGGTGATGCCACTTTTGGTTCCCCAAAGATCCATGTTTGAAAAGAAATATGTGAGTGTGAAGAAGTTTTAAAAGAAACTTCACATTACATAAAAGGGTTTTAGACCACTGTAAGGGTTCTTTACCTGATACTTTAAAACGGTTTATTCTCATTCACAAAAATTGTTCTCTCTAGAGAACGGAATGGTTCTTTAGGGAACCAAAAGTGGTTCTACTATGGCATTATGCCAAGGACGTTTATATTTAAGAGTGTAGTATAAAAACCTACCAATGATTACAAAATCCAGGACCAAAAACTTGGTGCTACACTCTTAATATTCAGTATCTACTATAATTTATACACTAAATACAATTAATTATTCATTAAACTACTATGAATTATTCAGTAACTACTATGCATTTTTCTGTATGTACTAAGAATGAATCAATAACTGCTATAAACTGTACAGTGAAATGGTTTTTCAAGGGTTCTTTAGGGAACCAAAAGTGGTTCTACTATGGCATCACACAAAGAATGTTTATATTTAAGACAGTAGTATCAAACCTACCAACGATTTCAAAATCCAGGACCAAAAACTGACCTAAACTATATAGATATATATAAATAACTTATTCATTAAATACAGTTAATTATTCATTAGACTACTATGAATTATTCAGTAACTTCAAGGGTTCTTCAAGGGTTCTTTAGTAAAGAACTTATTCAGAACCATGAGTTCTATATAGAACCATCTAATGCTTAAATGGTTCTTTGCAAGATAAAGTTGTTCTTCAGATTGATGGAGAACGTGATGTATATGGTTCTATATAGAACTTTTTTGAAAACAGTTCTATGTAGCACCAAAAAAGGGTTCTTCTATTGTTACAAGCTTGACATAGTAACATGTTCCCCATCAATCTGAGAATATCATGGTTCTAAAAAGAACCATTCCCTTTACTAAAGAACCCTTTAAGAACCATCTTTTTAAGAATGTACTATTGCCCATCAATCTGAGAATATCATGGTTCTAAAAAGAACCATTCCCTTTACTAAAGAACCCTTAAAGAACCATCTTTTTAAGAGTGTACTATTGCCCATCAATCTGAGAATATCATGGTTCTAAAAAGAACCATTCCCTTTACTAAAGAACCCTTAAAGAACCATCTTTTTAAGAGTGTACTGTTCCCCATCAATCTGAGAAACTTTTGGTTCTAAAAAGAACCATTCCCTTTACTAAAGAACCCTTATAGAACCATCTTTTTAAGAATGTACTATTGCCCATCAGTCTGAGAATCTCATGGTTCTACAAACAGCCCTTCTCTTTACTAAAGAACCCTTAAAGAACCATCTTTTTAAGAGTGTAGTATGTTGTGCTCAGTGCTGTCAGTTTAAGGGGTGAAAACATTAATAACTGTATAATAACTGTAATTAATTTGTCATGATGCATGTCTCGATTGTGTTCTCAGACTCCTCTCCTCGTTCTTCATGTAAGCGATCCACATAGCTGGTGTTTTTAAATCGAGTTTGTTAAAGGATTTTTTCTGCTTGACCCCTCAGATGGCCAGCTCAATGCGATCCTGGACGGCACTCCTGGCTCTTCTGCTGTGTGTCCTGGTGTGCCTAAGCAGCCTGGCTGAAGCTTATCCCCCCCAAACCTGAACCTCCAGCAGGAGACGTGGGTCCGGAGGAGATGGCCAAATACCACACGGCCCTGCGGCACTACATCAACCTCATCACACGGCAGAGGTCAGTCGTTACTGCCCTTCAGCTGCACGTTCAGTTTGCATGCCATTCATTTTCAGGGATGTGAATCTTGATTCAGTGTGATTCTGATTCTTTTGGGAATGATTCGGTTCATCATTCAATCCCAATTTTCACCACGATTCAATTCAATTTGATTCATTTTCATTGATTTGAAAGTGCATGAACTGGAGGAGGTATTTACACAGTAATATAAACAATAAAAATAACACTCTTTATCTGTGACAGTCATAATATTATATTACAGTAACAATGGTAAGATGCCACTGAAGCATCCCCTTCAGAATGATGGACTAATGTTGTGATATTCCAGGTTATTACATAATTATTACATAGTTATGTAATGAATGACATTTACATTTTTCCGATGAGTGTAAAGGTTTTTTTTTCCTTTAAAGAAAGTCTCTACAAACAAAAATAACTTTTTATTAAATTCCTTTCAGTGAGAAATCATTCATATAAAATTACACCACACATTTATTATCATCAAGGATAACCAAAGATAAGTTTATTGTTTGTAATAAAACTCTTGATTTCTGATCCTGGACTTCCATTTCCTCCCGACCTAATCATCACTTTCCTTTTGGTTCCTGACCAAAACATAGCCTCTGTAAGTGGGAGGTCATTAAGTGGACAGTGGGCGGAAGCACAAGTTATACTACTGTTCATAAGTTTAAAATTCCTTCGTCATATTATTTTGTTATTTTATGTACAGTGCTTACTAATACAATGCAGATGTAAACATTATGATGATTATAATATAATATTTAATCACTGTTTCAGTTAAAGTTAAATTAAAAAAAATACTGATGGTCATTTTCATTTACACTCATTTTTTGTTGTCTGCCATGAGATTTGACCACCTTTCTGAAATATGAGCCATCATGGATATTAATTTTATTAATCTTATTAGACCTTCATTCTGGATATTAATTTTATTACAACTTAATTCTGAAAATTAATTTATTAGAGCTCCGTTCTGGATATTATTTATTAGAATTTTATTTGAATTGAATCTGGATATTAACTTTATTAGAACTTTTTTTTCTGGATATTAATTTTATTTGAATTTTATTAGCATTTCTTCCTCCATATTAACTTTATTAGAGCTTTTTCTAGATATTTATTTTATTTATTTTTTTTAGAATTTCTTAATGGATATTATCTTTATTAGAACTTTTTTCTGCATATTAAATTTATTTGAATTTCTTCTTGGATTTTAACTTTAATAGAACTTTTTTTCTGGATTTTAATTTTATTTAAAAAAATCTGGGTTTAAAATTTATTACAACTTTATTCTGAAAATGAATTTATTAGAGCTTCATTCTGGATGTTAATTTTACTAGAACTTGTAGGTATAGATTTTATTTGAACTTCATTCTAAAAATTAATTTTATAAGCATTTTATTCTTGATATTCTACAGTGTTCTCAATATTTCTTTATGATATAGTCATACCACTTAAACACACACCAATCTATTTGTTTTGTACTGTTTGTTTATTATTTATTTATTTCTTTTATGTGCACATTTAGTGGTTTCAAGAATCTTTGTCTCCTGTGTTTGATTAAATATACAAAATAATCTGATTGAGAAAAGTGAGAGACCCAGAGCAGGATGTCATTTAAGGCCCTCAAACGTCCAGAGTCGGTCCTGAGTGCGGTCAGGCCGTGTGCTCGCTCTACAGTTAGAACGTCTGCCCGCTGAACGGTGTGAAGTGGTGGGTTTGTTATTAAGGGGGTTTGACCTGTCAGCTTTCCACAGAGACGAACCTGTTATTTACACTGCAGGAGAAAATAACACTCACAGCTACGCTCTGAGTTAATTACAGATTCACTGCAGCGCTGAGGGCTTTGTTATTCTGAAAGGTCACAGAGGATTTGTGTGGATCTTTTTAGTTTATTATTATCCCACACTGTAAAAAACAGAACTGGCAGCGTATTTAAAAAGTAAGTGAAACAATTCGTATGGAGCTTTGCGTTGGTTTAACTTGGAGGGTTTTCTGTAAGTAAAATGAATGAGATCCTTCAAAACAACACTGTTTGGTTGAAACAGAAACTAGATTTAACTGCCCACAATCGACCTCTATAACCACTTTCTTAAAACCTTTAAAGGGTCATTCCAAAATCTTTTCAAAATATCTGCATAGTTCAACTGAGATGCATACAGAGTCGTTTGGTGTGAAATGGTTGATTGTAGACACTCAGATTTCTTTACAGTGGTGGTGATAGGAACCAGGGGTCACCATGACTACAACACAAATATTAAGATTAAGTGACCCTTATTAGTCCCACAACGGGGAAGTTTCTCCTCCGCATTTAACCCATCCGTGCAGTGAAACACCACATACACACTAGTGAAGACACACACTAGGGGGCAGTGAGCACACTTACCCAGAGTGGTGGGCAGCCCTATCCACAGCGCCTGGGGAGCAGTTGGGGGTTTTGCTCAAGGGCACTTCAGTCACATACTGTCGGCTCGGAGGATCGAACCAGCGACCTTCCGATCACAAGGCTGGGTTTCCTAACCTCCAGCCCACGACTGCCCCAGTGTACTGAATTTTCCATTTAGTTCCAAAACGACCAGTAAAGCTACACGAGTCTTCGGAGGTTTTATATGTAGTGTTCATGACGGTAAAATAGCGGAAAATCTGAAAAAAATAAGTTTTCTTTAGGGACTACTTTGCCTCATAACACCCTGCATGTATCCCTCCACCATGAATGTTTTTAAAAAATGTTTTAGCCCAAAACTGCCATAAAACATTTAGGTTATGTTTTAGACATCAGACAGTGAATTCATAACCATTTCATGTAATAACTTTTGGTGAGGGAGCTTTTAGAGGTGGACGTCTGGTTCCTATCAACATCATAGTGAACAATTCTGATTCATTTCTCAAGAATGGCACATTTCACGTCACGTCCAGCCACTCTGAATGACTTTGTTCACATCTTAATGGTTGAATTATGTGGAAAGTTTGAAAAATTGATCGAATTCCCTTTTAAGCATCACTCCACCTTATTCACCTGTAGCCTAGCAACAGCAGCCAGTATATGGGCCTTATAAAAGGACTATTTCATGTTGCGTTTGGGTTTATAAGAACAGTACTGAAAAAAAAATCAGGATTTTTAATATGTTGTTATTTAATAAAATCCATCATTCTCTCTCAGATACGGGAAGAGATCCTCTCCTGAGGCGGCGGTGGCGGAGCTCCTATTTGGTGACGATGAACAGGACGTAAGACCACGGTAAGCGATGGCAGAACATCTACAATAATGACATGTCTTGCCTTTAATAATCTACTCACCGGCCACTTTATTGGAAACCCCTCTCTTGTAGCTCCACCTAGCTGGTGTACAGTTAGAGACTGTAGCTCAACTGTTGAAGCACAGGTTGTGTTAGATTTCCACTATCCTTCATTAATGGTCAGCTTCCAGAGCCGATAAAGGCTGAATATTTTGGGACATGGCCTCAACGGCTGTAAAGCTAATTATCTTATTATATAAGCACAAGCTACTTTCTAAACCTAAAGCTGTTCTATTTTGAGAGCCTGCTAGCTAATTTAGTTCACGCAAGCTAATGTCAGTGGAGTAAGCAACTGGAGGGGGGCAACCTCACTGGGGCCCAGGGTGACCAGACCCCCATAAAATCTTTATTAGGCCCCTCATATAGAGACTGACACCCATGACTCACACAGAGATCTGATTTCTGAACTTAAAAACTCACCAGTTCGCTTCCGTGAACCCTCATAGTCATAATGCTGCTCATCCCTGGTAACCATGGTAACAAATCCTTCACAACCTGCAACATCAAATATTCATTATTTATAATTCTAACATCTTAAAAAGGGAGTCAAATGTAAACATTCAGGTTAATATTAGATGATCGTGGGAGGACTGGCAGGCCATCGACTTGATTGAGACCTAACAAGAGTGAATTACATAGTCATTTTTTTATTTATTCAAAGTAATATTAGTGTGGGGGCAGCAATGATTCATACGATCCTAGTTACACTACTGACTAACATGCTGTTGGGTTAATAATGGGTAACTTAGCCAATAAACCTAGTTAAATCTTGAGCACTTATTTAAGTACTTTTTTTCAACAGACGACTTATTTACTCACATATTAAGAAAAAAAAAACAAGATACCTTTCAGGTTTGCACCAAACAGCTGAAATCAGTTGTACAGGTTTGATTCCAGCCTAAAACATTTAATATGTTATTTTTCATGATATGTAATATTCTGTAGTTCAGCATTGCATCTCTCAGCCTCAGCTTCGAAAGAATTCACGATTTGTATGCTTTGTCACCCAATAATGTCCACTTACTACAATTCCCAGCATGCATAATGCAAATACACAATACAGTCATTGGGAATCCCCCCCCCTCCTCCACCCCATAGCAGTAAAGAAATCCACTGATTTAGAGGCTAATAAATACAACAGCGAACAAACAGCCTGTCTTATGTATCTGCCCTTTATTAAAAAGCTCCTCACACCTTCAAGGTGCATCATCAGAAGGGGTTCAGTCTTTAATCCAGGAAAATCAGTCTCAGCACTACTGCGGCTCCACCGCAGGAGGCGAGTAGACATGTTTACGACAGATGTAGTGGTGGTCTCAGTTTTCATTGTGGCCAGAGAGCCCCTTTAAGAGGTCTGGTAGAAGTGGAGACTGCTGGGTAAATGCTATTAGTTAACCTCCACAAGATGGAGATGTTTCTATACGAAACTGTAGATGGAGATGTGAGAACTGACCTGAGACGTTTTTCTTTCAGCGCTGATGACCACTTGGCCTGGTAATCCTCTCCTCTGTCTCGCTGCATCGTGTGCATTCCTCTCTCGTCCATCTCTGTGATGATAAACAAGTTTACTGAACAGCCAAAGCAGCATGAACCAGCGGCCCTCCTCCCGAGGGCTTCCTCTCACCTCAAGATATGGGCAAATGTCTCTCTCTCTGTCTCTCTCTTTATCTCTATCTCTCTGACTCTCTCTCTCTCTCTCTCTTTACCCAAATGTTTTCTGTGAAGCGACAATTGTAAATAATTTGTTACTCACATAATTGAGAATAATAAAGAATGACTAGATGTTGAATGGTGGTACAAAATGAGTCAGTTTTGTGGAGTTTTTATGCAGATTCTCTTTTACTCTGTGGGATGAATTTGAAAGATTTTATTAGAGGATTTTAATCTTGACTGACATTGCTTGACTATACACCGATCAGACATAACAAAACTCCAGCAGCACTGTTGTTTCTGATCCACTCAGACCAGCACAACACAAACACACCACCACCACGTCAGTGTTACTGCAGTGCTGAGAATGATCCACCACCCAAATAGTACCTGCTCTGTGAGGGTCCATGGGGGTCCTGACCACTGAAGAACAGGGTAAAAGGGGGCTAACAAAGTATGCAGAGAAACAGATGGACTACAGTCTGTAACTGTAGAACTACAAAGTGCACCTATATAGTAAGTGGAGCTGATAAAATGGACAATGAGTGTAGAAACAAGGAGGTGTCATAATGTTATGTCTGACCGGTGTATATAAGTAAATAAAACAGGCTACGTTTAACGTGACGAAGATCAGCTCATGCTTGCTACTATGAAAAATCCAGTATCTCTAAAAAACGTGAATAAAATCTCAAATAAGGCTCTACTTTTAAAAAAAAAAATCTAGTGACCTGCAGGAAATATGAAAACATGCCAAAATATTTAGCTGTTACAAAAAATAAAAATGCAAAAAAGTCTAAGAAGTGTTACAAAAAGAGGCACTCTGGACTAAAGCTAACGTTTATTTGTAGCATTTCGTGTTATTCTGTATGACAGCATTATTTCCCTAGTTTGACAAATTTTGTATTGTTTTCATTTTTTCGTTTACTAATGTTTTTCACTACAATACCCAGCATGCATTACGCAAATAGCCTAGCCACTGAGCTACAGGTTAATAAATACAACTAAACTAGCTTTAGTGTAACATTTACCTCAGCTGACACACAAAAGGTAAAGAAAACAGTGATTCTTTACTTATTCAGCACAAAATGGATGTTGAAGACGAGTTTTTTACACTTTCAGTCAAAAAAATTGAGCCAAACTGAAGTAACGTAGCTATCTAACTAACGTTAGCTCGATAGTAGCTAGCTACCTTGCTAACTTTAGCATTTAGCTAGAGGCGGGTAATCCAGGTCCAGAAAGTAAAAAACCCTCTCCAGGATTTTGTTGCAACTGCTTGACTTCTCTAATTTGCTCAAACCAGCAGCAAAGGTGTTCAGGCAGTTGGGACAAAATCCTGGGGAGGGTTTTTACTTTTTGGACCTGGATTACCCACCGCTACTTTTAGCTTGTCGTTCTCCTCATTTTACGGGTCATTTCTGTCGTTTCTGTCCTTTGTAGTGATGATTTAAAGACTGTTACACGACTACAATAAGATATTCAACTTCCCAGCAGTAACAGTAGCTAAAACGTTTACCTATCTGCCTTCCCTCTGCTTTGACCAGCTAACAAAAAATAACCCTTAAAAATCGACCCAAAGCAGTTTAAAAGGGAAACCCCACCCGTTTTTCAGAATTCCTGCATAGTTAGATGGTTAAGATGTAAACTAAGTCATTCAGAGTGGTTTGGTGTGAAATGCTCTGTTCTAGAGAACCTTACAGAGTCAGAATTGTTCACAGTGGTGGTGATAGGAACCAGACGTCCACCTCTAAAAGCTCCCTCACAGAAAGTTACTACATAAAATGGTTTTATATATATATATGCTGCTTGATGTCTGAGACACTGTTTTACGATAGTTTTGAGATCGACTTTTGGGCTACATTCTACTTTTAAAATCCATTAATGGTGGAGGGATACATGTAAGGTGTTACAAGGCAGAGTAGTGCCCAGTACAACTTCCTGTTTTTAGATTTAACACTATTTTACCATGATCAACATTACATATAGCTAAATGTTGTAGACGTCACAACCCCCTGGTTAAATTCATCACCGCTGTAAAGAAATCTCTACAACGAACCATTTCACATCAGACCACTCTGAATAACTTTGTGTACATCTCAGTGACTGAATTATGCACACATTTTGGAAAAAAAGCTGGAATTTCAACCTTTAAATTTCTCAATTTGGTCGGAGTGTCCTTTAAAGGCGTAAAAAGCTGATCATGGCTCCAAGTGCAGTTACACGGTTCCACCACCAGGTGGTACACATCGAGTACGTTTTCCTCCAGCCTTTTTTTTTTTTACTATCAGCGTAAAAATTCGCATAATTTAGTCATGAATTGACAACAGCTGCTTACAGCTGTAACCTACAATTATCATATTTGCAGTTTGTGGTCAGTTAGCGCTTGTAAAGGTGCCATATTCACAAACTATTTTTTACAAACATTTTTTCGTCTGTTTATAGCTTTATTATTTAAATAATTGCAAGAATAATGCTTTAATAAATGTCTTAATTCTGTCTAATCAGATCTGCTGCCTTATTTTGTGATAATCCCAGACTTTAGCCGTTCTTAAAGCGGGCGCCGGCGCGGAGCAGCGCTGCAGCAGCGCCTCTGGTGGGGCCCGCCGGAGCGGTGCCCCTTTAAGAGCCGAGCGGTGGGCGGAGCCTCTAATCACACTGCAGAAAGGCAGCAGAAGCGCAGGGAGCGAAGAGAACAGCAGCGCTGCTGGCTTTACGGGCTCGTCCACGCTCCGTTGCGCGTCTGGCTGTTGAATTGAGCGAGGCTGCCTATTTGGACGCGTTGAATCCGTCATTAAAACCTGTATGAGACCTGTTCAGGACCAGCAGCTGAGCCTTAAGGAAGAAGAAGAAGAAGATCCTGCTTGGTTGTAGCCTCTCACCTTCATCCCTGCAGGAGATTCGAACCCAGGTGAGCAGGTTTAAGCTTTAAAACCTCCAGCACATTGTACTGGACCCTGTCACAGACAGGCTGCTGTCCAGATCACTGTGTTTCCATGGCTATGTCAATGAGAAGTCAATGAGAAATGTATTGCAATAGACCTGGATGCTTTCCCTGGCTAGATGGGCTTTCTTGGTCCACATGGAACTACCATGGTCAAGGCCATAGCTGACCCAACAGCCAGGACTGCTTATAACAGCCTTATAACATTTGGCTCGACATACAGCGCTGTGCAGAGGTCAGAGACCACCATTCATTCATGCAGTTACCACTGAAAATGGCCAAGGTATGAAAACATGTTTAACTGAAAATTACACAGAGGCCTCATTACTGAATCTGACCACTCTTCACCTTTATTACAGCTTCCGTTCTTTTTCAGGAGACTCACTTTCAGTAAGTAGTAATCCACAGTAATCAAACCCATTCAGTGGTGTTGAGGTCTGGACTCTGGGGTGGTCAGTCCATTGTTCACCTTCTTTGTTTGATGTGTCCGTCTCCTTTTCTCAGTGAGGTTCTTCTTGATCAGCTACACATCCTTTCAGACCCACAGCGCTGAGTCGTCTTCTCACAGTGGAAGGATGGACAGAAACACCTGTGGATGTTTTCAGATCTGAAGCAGCTTAATTTTCTCCTGTCTCTCAAAGATGAAAGCTTTAAGTGCTGTTTATCTGATGGGGGCAGTTTTGGGGTCTCCCAGGTCTTCCAGGTGGTTGTTAGGAGCCCCATTTTCTCTGCAGCTTTTAATCAGTTCTGAAGTTCATTTTTGGAAACTCCTGTTTTGTTTCGCTTATTTTCATTCGACTTTCTCCTTCCTTAAGTAAGTGGATTATCTTTCATCCAATCTCCTCAGAAAGATCTCCTGAAAGATGAATAACTTGTACTAAATGTCTGTTTTGACTGTAAATTAAATAAACAAAGGTGGTCTCTGACTTTTGCACAGTACTGTGTAAGTTACTGAAGCAGCACTGCCAGCTCAGCTTGCAGTTATTAGACAGTCAGTTTAGTGCACAGTAGCCACTTTTCCACTGCATGGTACCGACTTGGCTTGAATCGGCACCTTTTTTGGTTTTCCATTAGGCAAAACTGGTACCTGCTACTATTTTTGGTATAAATATCAGTCGAGGTTCCAAGTAAGCTGAGCCGATACCTGAAAGTGATGTTGAAAAACTGCAGACTGCTAGTTGGAGAGAATCGTCACTATCCCCCTAATCCAGGGGTCACAACCCAAATGTTAAGAAGAGCCATTTTGTCCTTTCAACAAAAATCAAACCACCTTGGGAGCCACAACATTTTATGTCCATTTTACCATCTTGGCTGTAAATATGTCTCAGTATGTGCTGATGTGCTAGTGTAGGATAAGAAATATAATATAAATGAAAACGCAGACTTACTTTGCTCTGCTTTAAGCTTTAGCTCAGCTATAGCCACTTTTCTCGCATCTCTGGCAGGAAACTTTATTGAAAAAGTAGAACAGTTTCTTGTAAAATGTCTCACAGCGTTCGACTTTTTCCAAGGCTGAAGTCGCTTCTCGTTCGCCAGCTTCTTTTTCGAATCTTAAATGGTGCCTGAGGTGCCAGAATGTAACTGCTGCACCATTTAAGGTGGAACGGGAGAATTGGAACAAGAAGCCGGCGAACGAGAAACTGACTTCAACTTCACGACTTTTTAGTGTTTGACAGTTTCTCATTGCAGATTAAACGTAGCTACTAGCTAGACGGGACTGTTGTCTGTGTTGCGATGGTGACCAGCAGTCTGCGCACCAACCCTTAGGGTTAAAGGGTGAATCAGCAGTTCTACATTAACTCCAGAGTTTAAGACCATTTATTGTTAAACTGTGTTGAACGATCAGCAGAGCTTTATTTTACTGTAAAGGAGGATTATTTTATTTTTACCTACAAATCTGATTCTGCTGTGAAGCCGCAACAGGGCAGTAAAAGAGCCGCATGCAGCTCTGGAGTCACAGGTATGCTAATGTTAGCTACCCTCCTGTGTCGCCTTTGAGCACCAGAGTCGTCTCCTTGTCTGAATTCTGGTGTCGTTTTTCCCAAACTCTCCTGTGTTTTTAGTTCAGCAGTCTTTTGTCTTGCTGCCCTCAGCGTCCTCTGAACAAAATTTGTCTCCTTCACATCACAGCAGCTATATGTGGTGTTGCTATGACGACCAGGTACATTGAGGAGGTACTATATCTGCAGTGGAAAACTGAGTAGCTGGTACCGAAAGCGTGTGGAGTTGAGTCGAGTTGGGCCGTACCATATGGAGGGAAAGCAGCTAAATAGGCCAAGAAGTCATTATTGGTGGACGATACAGCAAAAATGTTGTATTACGATATTTAAATACATTTTCACGTTACACGATATGCATCACAATATTTACTTATGCTGAGATTTAATTAGTTTAAACAAGCAGTAGAACCTGTGGTGCCCCTAGTGCTACTATTACTACTATTAATAATAATAATAATAACAATAAAAATAATAATAATGATAAACTAACTTTGTTCATTGTTTTACAAACTGTGCTGCTGTAAATCAGATTAAACAGGCTTAATTATGCTCATAAAACGTAGTCAGTGTTCTGTACGTACTGACCAAGATATGCTCAGAAAAGAATATTGTGGCACAGTTTATCACGATAACGATAAAATACAGTCGTATTGCCCACCCCTACCACCACCCCTACATCAGTGATGATTGTGTTCATTCCTTTTGTTAGACTGTGTTTCTGAGTGGTTATGATGTGAAGGTTAGAGAGGGAAAGATCATGAACGAACTTCAGATTGGCTTGAAAAATCCAGCTAATTTTGTTATAATGAAAATGAAGACTGTTGATGGTTGCCAAATTGTTGCTAAGTTGTTGCTAGGCGATTGCTATGGTATCCAAGGTGGTGGGTAAGGTGTTGCTAGCTGCCCCAGGTTGTTGCTAAGGTGTTGGTAGATGGTTGCTATGCTGTTACATACACTAGTAGCTTAAGTCCACCGCTTCTTTAAATCCAGTGCCACCTTAAATGTAGTGCCACCTTAAATTTACTGCCACGTTAAATTCAGTGCTACCTTAAAATTGCCACCTTAAAATCAGTGCTACCTTGAATCTACTGCGACCTTAAATTTATTGCAACCTTAATTTAATGATACCTTAAATTTACTGTCACCTTAAATTCAGTGCTACTTTAAATGCAGTGCCACCTTAAATTCATTATTTGTGCTGTTATTGCGGTGCGTTAGGCTGTGAACGTGTGAGTCTGTGTGTACTCTGTGACATCACTAGTGGCAGCTGGACTTGAATGTTCCACCATTCGTTTCCTATGGGAAAAATGATTTTCCGAAAACCGTGCGTCGGAAAAACTGACGTACACTGTAAAAGTTTTGTAGACACTCGCTTGTCCAAATTCGTTCTGAATTGAAGGGTATTAACAGGGAGTTTGTTCCTCCTTTGCTGCATTAGCAGCCTCTACCTCTCTGGGAAGGCTTTACACTAGATGTTGTAACATTGCTGTGAGGATTTGATTGCATCCAGAGCACGTGTGAAGTCAGGTACTGATGTTGGATGATCAGTTCTGGATCAAAGGTATTGGAGCTCAGTCACTCCAGAGAACCCAGTTCCACTGCTCCACAGCCCAGTGCTGGGGGGGTGCTTTATCCCCCTCTAGCCAAGGCTTGCTACTGGGCTTGATGACCTGAGGCTGATGTCCTGTTCTTCCTGTTCTATTGACAGTGCTTTTATATGGAGATCGTACAGCTGTGTGTTTTGGCAGGTACTCGTCTCACTTCGTTTGAGCTGGAAATTTGATTTAAATTCGGGCTACGAGTTCGACTCTCGAAGGGACAAGGCAGAAAATCAGAGACACTAGAATGATTGACATGAGCGGACAGTACGTCAGCTTAATGTTTCTGGATCTGAATTAAATTTACCTTAAAGACCTCTCTCTCTCTTTCTCTCTCTCTTTCTCTCTCTCTTTCTCTCTCTCTCTTTGTAGTCTCTCTCTCTCTCTTTCTCTCTTTGTAGTTTCTCTCTCTCTCTCTCTCTCTCTCTCTCTCTCCCTCTCCCTCTCTCTTTGTAGTCTCTCTCTCTCTCTTTCTCTTTGTAGTTTCTCTCTCTCTCTCTCTCTCTCTCTCTCTCTTTGTAGTTTCTCTCTCTCTCTCTCTCTCTCCCTCTCTCTTTGTAGTCTCTCTCTCTCTCTTTCTCTCTTTGTAGTTTCTCTATCTCTCTCTCTCTCTCTCTCTCTGTAGTTTCTCTCTCTCTCTTTCCCTCTCTCTCTCTCTCTCTCTTTGTAGTCTCTCTCTCTCTGTTTCTCTCTTTGTCTTTTGCGTTCTCTCTCTTTTTCTGTCTTTCTTTCTCTTCTTTCTCTCATTCTCTATACATCTGTCTCTCTATGCTCTGTTCTATCTCTCTCTTCTTTCTGTCTTCCTCTCTCTCTGTCTCGCACTTTTTTCTTTTCTTTTTCTCACTCACTCTTTCTCTTTTGTTTTTCTCTTTTTGTTCTCTTTATCTTTTATATGTCTTTCTCTTTCTCTCTGTTCTATCTCTCTGTTTGTAGTGTCTGTCTCTCTTTCTCTCCCTCTCTCTCTTTGTGGTCTCTCTCTCTCTCTTTGTAGTCTCTCTCTCTCTCTCTCTCTCTCTCTCTCTTTGTAGTCTCTCTCTTTCTCTGTAGTGTCTGTCTGTCTCTCTCTTTCTCTGTCTCTCTTTTTAGTCTCTCACTCTCTCTCTCTCTCTCTTTGTAGTCTCTCTTTCTCTGTAGTCCCTCTCTCTTTCTCTCTCTGTAGTCTCTCGCTCTGTCTCTCTGTAGTCCCTCTCTCTGTCTCTCTGTAGTCCCTCTCTCTCTCTCTCTCTCTCTCTCTCTCTCTCTCAGGTTTATAGTAGGATTTAGGGTGAAGTTGTCGCCTCCTGTTGTATCTTTGATCTTGACACGTCTGTGTTTTTAATTGGCTGTTCTTTTACAGTGAGCGCACCCCCGGCTCCCCCCCTGCCTCCTC